CTTTTAGATATTTCATTCATATTTTTCAGATATTTTATAAACTACATTTTACTTATCATTTATCGTATTTTTTCTTTCCTCGACTAAACAACATCTTTTAATGGAGATCTACACTTTTTCTTTCGTCTAAGACTAGTCTTATTCTATGTCTGGAAAAAGAGCCTAAAATGTTTGAGTTTGTAAAACCAAACCAAATTAAACCAGAAGCGTTGCCGTATAAACTCGGCTGTTCTTGCTGTTCTTGCTGAGACTCTCAGGCTGCTCAGAGCTGCTTATTATTCAGACCAGACAGCGGTTGTTGTGGTTCTGACCTTGGCGTAGGCCTTCGTCTCTGCAAACTTAATCTTGAAATCAAACATCTCTGCTGGCGGCTGCTGCTGCAGCTCTGCCGACGCTTCCTGCTGGCTGGTCAGTTCTCTGTTCACCTCCTGCAGCAAACACAGACGGAGAATCAGCAGAAATAAACGTGTACGACTAAACAACGTGCTAATAGCAGCCCTGTCTGTACCTGCAGGTGAGCTGTGAGCTCTCTGTACTTCTTGATGGTCTGCTGATAGTCGGCGACGGTCTCTTGAGCTGCTTCCACTCGTTTCTCCGACTCTCGGACTCTCGCTGCTCCCAGGTCCAACATCTCTCTGAGCTCCAGCTCCGTCTCTCTGGCGTTCTCCTGCAGCTCGTCGTTCATCTCGTTTATAGCCTCCTGCAGCGAGAAGACAGGACAGATTAGGAATGTTAGACTTATTCTTTTATTGTGCGATTAGTTCTGTTTCTGCAGACGTTTTACTGCCGACGCTGAGAGCGTTTCTCCATGATGCAGCAGAAATAACTCCGTGGTGACGATCAAATGAAGTTTAATAATAGAGCTTCTGAATCAACGTACGTCACTGGTTTAGTGTTTTCTTCTTACATTACATCCTAATATTTTGTTAAGATTTTTCTGATATGTTACTAAAATCTTTCTGATGTTTTATAAATAAATAAATAAATAAACTTTTTCTGTGATTTTAGGAATTTTTTTTCTGACATTAGACAAACATTTTAATACATTTTTATATGTAATTAAGATTTATATAATAGTTGATAAATATTTTTCCTAAATTATATATATTTACCTATAATTAATATATTTAAATAATTTTATAAATGTTTTACATGTTATTTTAATTAATTCTTTGACACTTTATTAGCATTTTTCTCATGTATTATAGATACTCTTTCTCTCAGTTTTCTGATTTTTTATTGATTTTATCTGATACTTTATTACTTGCTGACATTTCATTAACATTTTTCAGATTTTTTAGTACATCTTTACAATTTTTACTAAAAGTTTTCTGATATGTTAGTGCATTTTTGTGACATATTATGAATATTTTACTGATTCTTTATCAATATTTTTAACTGCTGCTGTGTCATTTCTGCTCTACAACTTATTTAGATCCTCTGATTTCTGTGCATTAAATATGTACTTTTTGTTTTTTACAGCCAGACTAGATTCCACCACTAATGTTGACAACTTCCTTCACAAGTTGTTAAAATAAAGAGTCGTTGCTCCTGGAAACACGACGTGCATCTAATCAATCAACAAATGACAAGAAAGTTTTCCTGAGGTGACTTTTGATTGTCTTGTATCGGTTTGTCACGTAACAGATGTTAACATGACAGTAAATGCATTAATCAAGGCAATAATGATGTCAGAACTCTGACTCTGAGTGATGACATTTGTCTGCCAGACCAGATGAGTTTCTCTGCAGGACCGTTTGCTCTGATTGAGGTCAGCGGATAACAAAGGAGGCTGCAGTGCGAGCAGACAGCAGGTGGCACTGCAGCGTGATCACGGCCATGGCCCATATCTCTGATGAAATGACTCAGCAAACTGTGGCACTTTAATTTTCTCTGACCTCAGTCCTATAAATACATGCAGGAGGGCAGGTCAGAGCAGGAGAATGAGTTATTGAGGAATACGTCAGGCTCAGGGTGAAGAGGATCCAGATCCCCGTTTTTAATCCACTGAACCCCCAACAGCTGCTTTTTTTTGCACCTTTCACATCATTTTTACTCTCAGTAGGCCCAATTTTTACTGTAATATGAAGTCCTGCACCTCGATGGAAACAGCACTAGAAGTAGAGAGAACTCAGATGTTATAATGCCACAAACAGACAAAAACTAAAGCTGCATTTCTTTGATGATCTGTTTTTTTCTAAGAGCCTCAGTAAAAAGCAGCTGGACTTCTCGTTTTGGTTCTTGAAGATGTTTCACCTCTTGTCTAAGAGGCTCCTTCACTTCCTCAGAAGGTCAAACATCTTCAGGAACCAAAAAAAGACGTCCTTTAACTTGTTTTTACAGAATTTCCATGACCTGGATGACTAAGAACTGACACAGACATTATTTCTTTTTACAAAAACTGAAAGAAATTATTCCGTTTTCAAAATTCCTTCAGGCGTTACCAATATTGTGAATAAAATGGGGGCTCTGCCGACTATAGCTAGACGGTTTGACTGTGTCTATTCATATGTTTCACCATGCTGAATGTATCCTCCAACAACCTGCTGCTCTGCCTTCAATTTTTGAGCCATGCAACTTTTATTTTATTGATCAAGTATGTTTTCTTTTCCTCTCAGTCGCTCCTGTTCTCTACTATCTGCTCTGTTCAAGCACAGCCTCCAGTTCAGCTGAAATTTCTCTGAATTTTAGTTAAATTACTGCCGGTTGCAGCTGAGTGAGTTCTATATTCAAAGTTGCGCTGTGGATTGCAGAATTTTTCGTTTTTTTCGTTTTCTGCTTTGCGCAAATGGTTTATTTTTGGCAAATTTATAACTCAGACATGTAGAATGAAGTGAATTTAAGCTTAGAATGTGGTCGCTTTCCTTGACAGTACCATGATACATTCACAGACTGTCAGAAAGCTAAAAAATCTGATAATTCTTTCTGTTTTTATAGCTCCTGCCTCCCATGAATGCTGTAATTTTTGCATTTTCTGTCAAGAAAATGGGCTTTTTCAACCCTCTGGTGAATTTTGAGGTTCAGAAGATTCACTCCTCTGAATGTTCTACTTAAATGAACTCGATGCTGATTTTCTCTCACCAGGTCGGTGACGGTTTCCCTCATCTCCCTGACTTTCTCCTCCAGGTCCAGGTTCCTCTCCGTCAGAGTCTCCACCATCTCCTCGGCGCCCAGAGCTGCATCCACCTGAAACAGAACCCCTCCTCATCAGAACCGGTGAACCGCAGCGTCACGGCGGTAAAGCTGTACACACAGAACTCTGACCTGCTCCTTCAGCTCGTCGATGGTCTTCTCGGCCACCGTCATCTCCTCCTGCAGCTTCTCCTTCTGGCTCCTCAGAGAGTCCAGCTCCACATTCTTCTTCTCCATCTGCTTCTGCAACTTCACGTGTTCCTGCTTCTCTGACGCCGACAGGTCGCGCATCCTGAAACACAGCAGAAGTACATCAGTGAGGACACAATACTCAAAAACACACAGAATCAGAGCTCACGTTATGTTTAGTGACTCAAACTAACGAACGTTTTTGCTGCCCCTACCTGACCAGTGCCTCCTTCAGCCTCCCGTTCTGCTCCTCCAGCTGCTTCACATGATAACTGGAGGCGGCACCGTCCGAACCTGACACAAACCCAAAAACACGACAGTAAACTTTTCATTCAGAAGAAAACTGGTGTCGCTGCTGGTTGTTGCCAAGACAGACGAGAACATCGTCTGTAGCTCCACTTCAACAAACAGCACCGCTCTTTGGATCTGATCGTTATGAGCTCCACTTGCTAAAAAACCTTCGGGTCGATAACTCGGCCTCCGTCATGCTGCACTCAGAGCTCACAGATGGCAGATCAGACACCACTTTTACAGTCTGATCACATTACAGCCCAGTTCAGAGAGGAAACACGGATCCTAAATATATTAAAACAGTAAATCACGTTGCTTTCTCAGCATTTGATTTCCCATCAGCCTGCAGCTTTATTCCACATACGGTGTAGAAATGTAGTTTTTTGAGCTCTTAAGCAAGCAGATTATTATTATAGGTGCTAAAATGATGACAATAAAACCTGATATTCAGGATAAAGTGTTAACCACAGGCTTATAGAAACGTGTACTGCTCATGTTTTGGAGGAAACTTTTACATGATGCTGCTGGAAATCACGATATGTGCAAAATGCATCGATTTAAACTGACTTAACAGCAGTCAGATAAAAAAAAACTTAATCTCACAAGTTCAAAGCTTAAGAACACATCTGATCTTACAGTATTTAAGGCTGCGCTCAAGTATTATCATTATTATTATTATTATTATTATTATTATTATTATTAATAATAAGAATAAGAATAATAAGAATAATAGGGTTAGTAGTCGTATGATGATGAGGAGGAGGATAATACTACGACTACTACTAATAATAATAATAATAATAGGGTTAGGATTAGTACTATGATGAGGATGATGATGATGATGATGATAATAATAATAATAACTTTATTTTTGTGGCACCTTTCTGTAATAAAAAGGTTACAACATTCATTACAATTTTAAAAAACAAGTCAAATTGGATGTCACATGAATGAAACAGGACCCTAACCATGTGATATAACAACACAAAATAGTACATTTCTTTTATCTTTCGTATGTTTTTTGCAGTTTTTATCAAGCACATTTCAGACATAAGCCATTGCGTCAGTGTTTTAGTTGCCTTAAAAATAGCAGTAGGCAGCATTTTTTTTTTTAAATCAACAATAATCTTACAGCGTGTTATATTCAAATGGTCTGAAAGGAAACTAAACTTATCCTTATTCTGTTATATATGTGCAGACTTAACTAAAACATGAGCGACATGCATGCAAATCACGTAATCTGTGCAACAGAAAAGTCATAAAAAGAATTCATGTCCACAAATAAAATCTTCCTGTAGTCTGAATTAAAAAAAGCTTCTCAGCTTCCTGGTGTCTCCACTGACCTTAGTTGCTGCTGCTGCTAAACATCACATAAATTCTGATTTCACCGTCACTCAACTAAAGATCAGATTAAAGTTCATACGCGTCACAAAAAAATCAACTCCAGGAGAGACTTGGTTCACATCACAGCCACATGACCTTCTCTGAGCTCTTACTGATGCTCTGCTGTACGTTCGGTACCTTTCTCCTCGATCTCGTGCTTCAGGATCTCCAGGTCCATGGTGAGCTCGTCCACCTTCTCCTTCAGAGAGTCCACCTCCAGCTGCAGGGACTCGGCCCTCTCCTCGGCCATCTCCTTATCCAGCGTGGCCATCTCGATGGCGTCGGCCGTGTCCGACATCTCCTCCATGTAGCGCTCCTTCGCCTCCAGAGCCTCTTTGGCCTCCTGCAGATGGACAAACACCTCCTGGTTAGTCCTAGTGCTGAATCTAAACCCTGAAGTTCAATTCTGGCCTGATTGACGTTTGAAATTAAATTTATTTCAGACAGTTTGAACCAAGCTCCAATACAGAGGAAGAAACAGATTCAAAGAGTGTTTTTAGATGATACTAATTTTCATGGCACAGTTAAAAACAGTGGCAGTGCAATGCTGGTTTTTAGTATTGACTTGTTGATTTTTTTGGCCCATAGTGTAATCTAATGTACTGGAACTATCATCTTTATCAAAAAATAAATTCAAGTTTGAATGACTAAATAAGCGATAAGCAACATAAAAGTGGGAAAAAAATATCTTTAGGGAGGATTTAGAAGTCATAAATTGTGCTAATCTGCTCCGTAGGCCTGTTCTGAATAGTCTGATCAGATTAGAATGACAGTCGTCTTCTAAACACTACTTTTATCTGAGCCTGAGTCCTTTGCATTAAAATCAACACTTTAATATTTGTTATTTCCACCCAGAGATATAAATCCTGTTAAATTGTTTCTTCACCCTCTAACCAGCTTCATTCTGTGATGTAACATCCAACCACGGAGCTCCGTCCTCTCCTCCGTCTGCTGCTCCTTACCCTCTTGGCCTCCTTCAGTTGCTTCTGCAGCTCGGCCTGCTGCTCCTGCATCTTGTTCTTCCACTCCTGCAGCTGCTCCAGCTGGATCTTGTGCTTCTCCAGCTCCTTCAGTTTGGCTTTGTCCTCCGTCCGCTTCATCTTCAGGGTCTCCAGCTTCTCCTCCAGGTCCTTCACCTGAGCTCGCAGCGCCTCCTCCTCCTGCGTGGAAAAGTTGAGATTTAACGAGCTTCAGCTCTCATTTCTGCTGCTAAAATAATCACGTTTTTTTTTTAAAAAGTAAAAGCGCTCAAACAGACAACAGGAGGCTTCAACGCTGCTCTGCTTCCTCCATGTTTCTGTGATCTTGCAGGTTTTTCTCTCAGTGAACAATAAAAGCAGCACATCAGGGTTAAATCTCTCTCTGTGCTTTCATATTTTTACAGAGATTAAATTTAACCTGATATGCAAAGAGTTTCACCTGTGGAGACGAGACACCAACAAACACCTTTTCATGCTCACAATGTGTGTTAGGAAAGAAAACATTCAATCGTGCAGCACCTCACACCAATTAAAAGGCGTCACACCTTTTGGCAGCTTGTTAAAATGTTAGCGAGAGAAAAAAAAACAACACTTCAGCATCGAGTCACATCACACCACGTCGCCGCACCTGTGTTTCCATGGCGACGTCCTCCTGAGGGGACAAAACATGAATGAGGACGATTATCGTCGTCTCAGAGTTGAACGCCGCGCCGACGTTGACTTTTCGCTAAATGTTAAAGTAATAATCTCTGACATTTGAACGCGCGTTAATGTGCACGTCGCTCCTCGACGGCTCGACCGAGACGCCGAAATTCAACCTGCAGCCGCGATTAACGAGGAAGTTCACAGACAATTAGGCAGCTTCACTGGTTCACATCGAACAACGATTTAATCAGGCCTAATTAAACCGTGCTCGAGAACTTGTCAGCCTCAATTTGTAGAAAAATCAGCTGTTAAAGTTCATTTTATCCCCAGTTAAGGACTTTTTACAAAAATATACTCTCAAGTCTGGTGGAGGATTTCTGTGAGAAATCAGGTGGAAATGATTTCTTTTTTTTTTTTAAGCAGCAAAAGCATCAAAATCAGCCAAATTATATCATTAATGAGCAGACATTTATATAAATATATGTTTAAAATCAAATGTAACGTGTGATTATTTCATTTGAGTCCATAAACTTGATGACAACAGCCTGTTAAATGCATTTAGCACAATTAATTAAGACAAAAAAAACTAGAATCTGTGAACTAGAACTAAAACAAATAATCAATAAATCCATTAATTTACTATCAGAAAATTACTCATTTTGATTAGTGAGGGCAAAAAAGCCAAACATTTACATTGAAGTCATCTTTTTATTTAACTGTTGGTCAGATAAAATAATCACCTTAGAATAGAGCATTAATCAATTAGCTGTCAACTCGTAAACAAATCGGCAACTGTTTTGATAATCGATTAATTGATCTAAGTAGTTTTTTTTAGGGAAAAATAAAGTTAAATCCTCTGATTCCAGCTTCTTAAATGTGATAATTTTCTTGTTTCTTTCCTCCTCTACGGCAGTCAGCTGAATATGTTTGGGTTGTGAACAAAACAAGACATTTGATCAACATTTTTCACCTCTTTCTGACATTTTATTGATCCAACTAATCATTTAATCATGAAAGTCATCTTACGGTTTAAAATGAATCACTTGTTGGATTCCTACTGACAAGACATTGATTTGCACTTTTATCTACATTAATCTCAAATTCATCATAATTTCAGGGTCTTTAATTGGCTCCAAACCGGAGCATGAATGGATGAAAGAGTCACAAAAACGTCGCTGTAACATCGTACATTTAACCACAGATGACATGTTTCCCCTTTGATTTACAGGCATTCCTTGTAGGGAATCAAGGACCGCGGTTCAGGCCTCGGGCTCTGATTTGACACCAACGCAAACCGACAGCTGTGTCAAAAAACACGTCTATTTGGAGGAGCGATAACAAAAAGACGTCACGTTTGATTTTACTCTCTGCCTGTGTGGGTTACACTCCGGGTCCTCTCTGATCCTGCTGCGTTAAAAAGAACACAGATGTCAACCTTTTTATTCCTGATTGTGTGCGTGTAGTTATGCTGCTTTTTAAATATGAAAACCGATTCTGGTGGGAGCCTCTGTGAAGGCTCAGCTGCAGTAATGTGAGTGAGACCCTGACCTTGCTGGGGACCGGGGCCGGAGGGTTTCCGGGGGAGTGCAGGGTGGGGATGACCGGGGCAGCCAGCGGGGTTTGGGCCGGCGTGCTGGGCTCGCTGCTGCTCATCTCCCCAGCCGAGGCCGAGGCCGAGCCGGACGCCGCCCCCTTCCCTCCGGTGCCGGCAGCTCGGCTCGGCTGCTGCAGGAATCGAGGAGGAAATAATTTGATAAATAAAAACATTTCTAGTCACACAATAGAAAAGAAAGAAAGCAAGAAATCAGGGAGCACGAGAAGATCCCACTGGGTGTAAATCACTGCTGGATGATGGAAAGTCGACCCAAATGGAGGTTGATGTTTATCTGCTGTATTTTAATTCAGATTTGGGCCATTTAATGTCAAATTATCAAACTTTTTTAACCATTTCTGCACAACCATCTCTGATTCACCTGAAAGTTTTATATATGGATACTTAAAAAGATATGAACTTGTTATATTAAAAACGTTCTTCTTTTTTTTTTTAATTGCCCATCGACCTACTTCCAACATTGAACATTGAAATTTGAAGCTGTTTTAACAACATTTCAGGAACTACTGAAGATAAAAACCTGACATTTTCACTGTTGCTTCTCATTTACTTGGATCTTTCTATCCAGCAACATTTCTGTTTATTTGGTACAACTTGTCATATCTGCTCAGTCAGGTATTAAAAGTTCAACTACAATAACTTTCTTTTCTTTTTGTCACCAAGTATTTTATATTGAAAGCGATTCTGTGTTTTGTTTTGTATTATTGCAACATGCAGCTCTATACGATTCAGAAAATATCACTAGTTCTAGTGATTATTATTTATTGAGGGAGTTTTATTTTGATAGTTCCTCAATGCATCTTGTTAACTTTTCCAGCTACCTTTTACTTTGAAAAGCTTGTTAGGACTTTTCATGATGGCTTCATTTTTTGTCAAATTTCAACTCACCTATAATCAGAAATTATTTGATCTACTTCAATAATATTGCAGATTCTGAATAAACGGCATGGTGAGAAATAAAAGTTTTATTTTTACTTTTATTTTTAAATGTTTCTGAAATGTTGTCGTTCGAACGGCCAAATTTCGAAGTGCAAAAGAACCATGCTGAAAGTGGGTCGACGGGCAACTTTAACTTGAAAATTACTTGATATATAAAGCTGAACGTTCACAGATATCATTTAAAATATCCATAGTTTATGATAATAATTTTTTTAAAGTTTCAAGCAAGTCAGAGAAGATCGAGGAGATGACTTGGATGGAATGGAAGTTATATCCTGGTTTTGATCACGTTCAACATGAACCATTAGTGGTCGACGGTATTCAGATTTGTCTTTTATTTCTCTCTGACATGTATTTCTGTTCAGTTGAAGACGTTTATGAGGACGGATTTAGCTTCTCCATCTCCTCACAGTTAACACACAACGAAGGCGACGACACATTTTATGCTCCACGTCAACAAAGTCGGACTTCTGTTGAACATTAAGACATTATTTACCATCATGTTTTTGTTTTACTGACTGACAACTAGACTTGAATATTGACACTTTTAGCACTTCTCTGATAATTCTGGGGTTTCTTAATGGTTTATTTAGATTCAGAAGATGGAGAAATTTCTCAAAAATACTTCGGTTTATTAGAAAAATCACCAAATGTGGTTATATGTGGCTTTACATTAGGGCTGAACCATTAATCAATTTGGATTTGAAACAACTGGCTTTAGTTTAGGATATACTTGACAAGTTCATGGTGTTCTCCTTGTGTGATAGTTAGACTTTTATGTGTTTTTTTCTTTTATATACAGGCTTTTCTGTTAGATTGTACGATTGTAAGGTTTGAGTCTAATTAGCTGGATGACATGAATACAAACCAACATCTGAACCAAAAAACAATGTGTTTTTAGAGGAAGTGTATTAAAAAGATACGATTCTGGCATTTCTTGATGGAGTCTCGTGCAGTAATTCTCCATCACACGTGATTATTAAACTGAAACTTCAAATAAAATCCCAATAAATGTCAGAAAAACCCCAATTTGTCCAAATCGTTGAGCCTTATTTCATATATACTCACATTGATGTTCACCTGCACGACATTAAACCAAGGATTTAACAAAAACATGATCATAACCAGGATACCAACATCCCTGTAAGGACAGGATTCATTCTGCACCAACTAGCCTTAACAGAAACTAGCATTAGTAGCATTAGCTAGCAGCTACTCGTTAACTTGGGTTGTTTACTTTCTGCAAAAACTAACAAGCTGTTTGTTAGTTGACTTGTACTCTACTTATTAATGTTTTGACCCAATGACGTCATCTTCTATTGCATTGTGTCTTTTCCTTATTTTAACGTGTTTTTATTTAGAAATTTAATTGAACTTATGAGTTGCTATTAATAATTGTGCAGCAACTTGGTTTTAAATGTGCATCATTAAATAAACGTGCATTTCCAATGAACCTCCATGATGAATTCAGACCTCAAGTACATAACAGAACTCAAATAAAACGAAATAAAAGCAAAGGAATTATTGTGGTGGAGATAAAACAGAATTGCAAACACCAATGGGAACTTTTAAACCTGTTGAACCCGAAATTAAGTGACATGAGGAGCTCCAGATGCATCAGGTGGAAAAAATAAACAACCGTGTGTGGGTTTGATGTGAACAATGTGGAAAGAGATCTGCGCTTTAACCCAAAATGTTATTCCTGTTAATGAAAGTAAAGTTACGATGAGGTAAAAGTGACAATCACACTCATGAGTAATGCAAACTGACGCCCCGAGGAGGTTGAAAACTGGGCTCACCTTGGGCCTTCTGGCCGTGGTCTGAGGAGGGAGGCAGAGGGAGGACAGAAAGAGGAGGAAGAGGTCAAAGGGCAGCAGGAGAGTCGAGGAGGGAGGGAAACAAACAGCCAGGGTTAGTGATTCAAGGCATATGAAACGGGGAAAAAAATCACAGACAAAAAGGACGCAACGGGTGGATGGAGCTGCCTGTAAACTACCGTCCGTCATTTAGCGGCTACACGCTCCTCCGTCCCTCTAATGATGTCTTTTGTCCTCGCTGCTCTCCAGGGCCTCATCGCTTCCTCCCACGTGACCCAGAACCTCGCTAACAACACCGACACTGTGGCTGCTGCGACCTCACTGACCGCTTTGTGTCCCGACCCGCTTCGTCGGAGCCCGGTTCTGTGGCACCACGTTCACAGAGGAGCCTGTCATCCTGCTAGACCGGAATCTGTCTGCTGTTTTAAATCCAGTTCCTCATATGTGACAACAAAGTGCCTTCAAAAAGTGGACATGAACGTATTATTTCCACATAGCTAGCTGCTGTCTTATAGCTTTTATAGTTTCTCAATGTACCTTCAAGCTTAAGAGACAAACTCACTGTGGAGCTGCACAACAACCATGTAATCTACATTTTCTTCCCCAAGTTGGTGCAAATGCATAATTAATTACCAAACATCACACTCAATAAATGTTACACATAATGACGTGTTTGCATTTCAAAGTCTATTTTTGACCTTTAAGCTTATATTTGGGCTGCAACTATTTTTACAGGTAGCTTTCCAGTTATTTTGAAGTTATTTTAATTGTATTTATGCACTTGTTTCACCTTTTTTTCTGTTGAACAGTCCAAAATCTAAACAAGTTTTACTTAAAATTACATAAAAACAAGGAAAACTGCCAGTATTTTACAAAAAATTAGGACAATTGCCATTACATTACATCTTAATAGAGTTCTGTTTATTTCCTAGAAAGTGTCCTGGAAAGAATTCTGCAATTTACTAGAAATTCAAGGAAAACAAACTGCTTTACTTACACCTGTAAATATTTACTCATCATTCCCTTTATAACCAGATTGATCGTAGACATAATGAGCGTCTTTTTATGGCCAGGATGAGACTAAACAATAAACATAAACTACACACTGCTTTCCAGGAATCAGTGTAGGATGTATCCAGGAAACTCTTTCAGGAACAATAACCTAAATATTACTAAATCCTACACGCTGGAGAAACTCCACCTGCTGGGGAGGATCATGTGATATCATCAAAAGCACAAATGCATATTGTTGCACTTCCATATTTAAGTAGGCGTATGATGATTTCACTGCTCAGGATGGTAAACAAACTGGACAGATTGTTAAACTCAGACACTTTGATGCTTTCTGCCACATTTCTGCAAAAACGATCCTCCTCCTGCACGCCGACTCCCTCCTTTCCTTCCCCGAATGCCTGCCTGGGCTTGGGCACGGCCGTCGCTTTGGCCAGTTATCGCCGCTCTTTATTGGATTAGAGTCGGGCCATTCAGCAGAAATTACCCCGAGCTAAACAGCTGTACCGAGTCAGAGCTGACAGCCCTCTGAAGCCACAGTGTCGTGCCGTAGAACACCAGAACAAGCTGTACTGACACCACAGTTAAATGGACTGATTCTGCACGATGAGGCGACACATGATGAACTGAGCATTACAATAATTCTGCAAATAAAAGAAGCCATAACTACACAGCACTTCCACGCTGGGAATATCAAACATTACTGGAGAGAGGCGGAAGGAGGGGAGGGGGAGGAAGAAAAAAAAAAAAAAAAAAGGGCGATTCCCAACAAAACAAAATGAAACTTCTAAGCGTGACCTCTGCCGGCAACAAAAACCAAACAAATGACAACAGCAACATCCCAACAAGATAATGAGGATCGTATGGAGTTTCTGTACCTTCCGGGGTGCAGGAGTCTGTCTCATCATATTTGCAAAAGGGGGGAAGAAGACAACACACAACACAGTCACCACACACACACACACACAGACAGAGGAGGGCGACACAACGAGATCCACACAACGAACACGGGAGCTGAGCTGCAGCCCAACAGTCAGACAGGCAGGCAGCGGTTCGGGCCGGGAAGCTGCAGTGGTGCAAATGGCCGCGGCGATTTATTCCCAGAATCCCCTCCCTCGTCCTCCCTCGTCCTCCCGCTGTCGTCCTCCTGTATGTCCTCTTTCTCAGCTCCTCTCATAATCCATTCGCCCCTTTTCGCTGCCTCCCTTTTCGCTGCCTTCGATTAGGACTCTGACATCCTGCCGCCGACCTGCTACACTGGAGACGCCTCTCCTCCCTCCTCTCCCCTCCTCTCCTCCTCCCCTCTCCTCGCTCTGCTTATTGTGATTTGTCAGCCCAGCCAATGC